GAGGCAAATGACATGGAAAGAACATCTTTCCAGGCTGGGAAGAGGTGTTGGCGGGTTTCCTCCAAAAGGTGGTCCTGCTTTTGTTAACAACCTCAGGAGCTGCCAAATGTGCGGGTAGCACAAGGTTGGAGCAGAGCCCCCTACAAGTAGATCAGCCTGTCTGCCCTAGCAGAGTGGTCACCAAGATCTCAGTTAAATTAATAGAAACACGACGGCACAATTGCTGTGACTAGTGAGCCCTTAAGTCTGTCTAACTCTGAACAGCTCTGAGCACAGGGGATGCTGAGGGAATGGGTGTAAGAGCCAACGTGCACATGGTGCTTGCTGTGTAACCCCCTAGTCTCTGGTAAGATACAGCAGCACGAGTCGCAAGACTGTGCATTAAGAGACAGCACAGATTTCTTTTAAATTGAGTTTTAACACTGGAGAGCAAAAGGAGAGGCTGAGGGAGCTGGGCCTGTTCAGCCTGGAGAAGCGAAGGCTGAGAGGAGACCTGATCAGTGTCTATAAGTACCTCAAGGGAGGGAGTGGGGAGGATGGTGCTGGCCTCTCTTCACTGGTGGTCACCGACAGATCTAGAGGTAATGGCCACAAACTGAAACACCAAAAGTTCCACACGAACTTAACGAAAAATTTCCTAACAGTGAGGGTGACAGAGCACTGGAACAGGCTGCCCAGAGAGGTTGTGGAGTCTCCTTCTCTAGAGATCTTCCAAACCCGCTTGGACGCAGTCCTGTGCCACGTGCTCTAGGTGACCCTGCGTGTGCAGGGGGGTTGGACTAGATGATCTCTAGAGGTCCCTTCCAACCTTAAGCATTCTATGATTCTATGAAAAGCAGAGTTGTGTTTGCTGGGATCCCATAATGATCCTCTACAAAGAGTTGACAAGAATTAATGCCTTAGCCCTTGGGGCTACCTGCTGGGAAGACGAAATTCAAGGTCTAAATAGGGGGAAAGGCTGATCAGAGGAACAGTGAGGGGATATTTCAGATCCTGGCAAATTCCATCTACTGAAACCGAGGGAGGAAACGTGACAGAGCTAGTCTTTGTAGTTATGCTAGGAGGAGAATATCAGAGAGGGAGAATTATTTAGGCTAAAGAACATCATAGAACAGGGGCAAATCTGCATAAAGAGACCATAACTGTCTTCATATTGGAAATCTTAAGGAAAATGTCTTTAAAAAGAAAAAGAGGGGAGTAAGTAACTGCAAGCTGTACAACTTAATAATAGAACAAGATTGTTTGTTTGAATGCAATTCTTCCGTTTTATGGAAATATTCAAACTTGTTTTCCTGTCTTTTTCAATTACAGTCTTCATTAAAGAGCACTCTCAATTATACTGTTTACTTGCTGCTTCCTCAGGAAGTGGTGATCAAAATAGTTCACGTATTACATTACTGTTGCTGAGAAAGAAGAAACTTAAAGTAATTAATTTCCTGGGCAGTAGAAAGTAATGAAACCTGACCATATAGATGTGCATCCTGCTCTCCTTGCAGCCACTCCCCCTGGAATGGCATTTTCCCACGAAACCAGATATTTCCCTCTTTCCACCACTTCGTACTTCATTCCCTTCACACGAACTGCTCTGTCCCCAGACCTGCGCTTTGGTCTTAGAGCACCTGCAGCTGCTGGACCTTCACTCACGTTAGTTCTCACCTTGGCGCTCTCTAGCAGACCCGCTGGCTGGCTGTAAAACGCGGTAGCTGGGCTGGGATGAGGTGCTTGCTCACCACATCCTGCTGCTTCTTGAAGGGTGGGCAGCCCACAGGGACTGGCTGGGGACTACCCTTGCCCACGCTTTCCTGTGGCAGGGGGCTGAGAGGCGCTACCACCGCCTGAACTGGGCGTCTGTGCTCAGAAGCGGTTGAGAAGAGGAAAGGAAGGAAAGCAAAAAAAGGGACAGACGCTTGCAAGAAAATGATACCTGAGGAAAATGTGCAGAAATGTTACTACATCACTTGGGCTGCACAAGGAGCTTTAAGGAAAATATGGGCTAAAGAAACATTTTTACAAGGAAATATGCTATTTGTTGTTAGGAAAGCAAGTATTTGCCATCTGGCCTGCATGATTTGTCTCACCTTATTTGTAAATGTGTCTGGCTTCCACTTCTCACCCTGCCTGTGAGTAGCTAATTTACAGTCCACTTTGATGCTTATCAGTGCAGGATTATCCACAGGGAAGATAAAAGGAATGGTCTTTTCATTATAAGCCAACAGTATGAATGCAGCTGTCATCAGTAATGCTAGTAAATCTGCATTAATAGTTGTCTAGTGCCACATAAGAAAGGATGTTATTAATTGGCTTGAGTCAGAGCCTAATGTTCAATTTTTCACCTTACAAAAATATCCCCCGGCACATGAGCCTCGCTGGTTTGTAGAGTGCTGGCTGGATTTATGAGTCTGCAGAGACACTTCAGAATTTTCCCTGGCCTGCAGAAAATGCAGGGTGCTGTTTAAGATTGGCTGGAGCTGTTAAATGTTCATGCTGTTGCCGAAAGATGAAAGCCTACGCTTTTGTGTCTACCCCTGGCCACACGTCTCTGCTCTTTCCTGTGACCCAAGGCTGGTATTTGTGTGGCCATGTGCCAACTGGAACTTGTCTGTTTTATTTTTTGCTCTCAGCTTTGTTTTTCACAGAATAATGCATGCAGTAGCCTCTTAAAATAAAAATAGATGTAAAATGAATGTGAAACAGCTCTCCGTGAAAAAGTTGTGCCTTTCTAGGATGAGCGTAACGTGCATATGCTGATGAGCAGACCAACAAAATGTAGCACCTGATGGCAAATGGCATTGTTTAAATTGTTAAAATGAAAAAAGTCCCATGGACTGAAATTTCTGCATGACTTCTCTAAATCCTCATTGGAGACTCAGGGCAGAGCCTACAGGTAACAAGAGAGAGCTTTAGGCCTTTTGAGTATCGTACTGATCATACTGAGCTTTTGACCTTATGCAGTCGCCATTGGATTGAAACCTGAATGTTTTAACCTCTTCTTTCTTAGCTGCTAGTAAACTGTACCTATTTATGTTTTACAAGTACTTTGCTACAGTTATTAATGCTATCCATGTCAACAGTGAGAATTTTATTAGTCATGATAATAATGATTATCCGTGAGGTCTAACCTCTTCCACAGGAACTGAATGACAGCCTAGTGTAAAGAGGATGACTGTTTGAATATTTATGATGGACACTGTTATGTGTCCATCTTTAATCTTGTTCTCTTAACAGATTTGTATTATTAGAATTACTTAAGCTATAATCAGTTGAATTTTAGAGACAAATAATATCTACAGCTTTCAAACATCAAGAAAGGCCTTTTTTACATGAGTTTTCTAGCATAACTGTAACTGTTAAAAAAGTAGTTTTCAAGTCATTTCTTTTCTGGAGATCTCCCCTATCTTTCTTAACTTTGTTGTAATAGCTCGGTTTAGAGGAAAAGCCCATATGCTGTTTACTGGTCTTTATATGCTTATTGTTAAGGTCTATTAAGATCTTTTGAAGTAATTAGACATAATATATGAAATTCCCTTCTCTGTATAAAGCTCAGATTGCTGGCTCCTTCAACATAAACATTGACGCAAAAGGAATCTAGAAGTTCAGCGTAGTAGCTAAATGTATTATTCTGTGTAAAACTATACAGATGATGTCATATAAATGGTGTTGACAAGGGGAAAAAAAGTTATCAGGCTATGCTCCTTTATATTAAAATCAATTTGAATTTTCATTATGAAAGCCTTTAAATTTCTGCCTCTCTATTGTGAAGTGGCAAACAAACAGTAAGCTTGAAGCTGCTCATCTTTGATGTTGGTGATACCTAGTTAATATGGGTGTCCCCTTTTTCATATGTTTGACTCCTGGGTAGCACCTTGCGTGTCATTTAAGCTCAAGATGTAGATATGGTCTACCACAATACACGCTATAGGGGTGATAACAGTTCTGAGCTTAGAACTTCTTCACTTATACAAAGAGTTGATTATGGTTTTCCCTAAAGTGTGATTTCTGAGATTTTTAATTGCATTAAAATTGCTTACAGTTTTCTTGTCTAGAGTTAGTGTAATGCAGTTGTGCTCTTTTAAAAGTTTAATAATGGAGTAATATGTAAAAACTGCCATGTAAAACTCATTTTGTAAGTAAGCTTGTTCCAAGAATTCAGGATAACTAAAATTATTAATAATGCTATACATGACTGTTGTTATAAATAGTAGCCAAGGTAAAGGTCAACTGTTTGATGAAAAGTAACTCAAACAATCATTATTTTTCTCCTACAGTGTATTTTCATGTTGTTCTAGTGAGTCACTCTCAGGAAAGGGATCAAATTAAGGTTAAGAATTTTCATGGAAAGTGACCAAATCCTTAAGGTTCTGCAATGCCTGCTCATTTGCACACTAGTGCTCGGGGAGTGAGAGGCCCCAGCCCTTCTCCTGCGGCTTCCCTGCAGCACCAGGAGCTGAGGTGGGGCAGAAGCACAAGGGAAGCTCTTCAAGCCCTCCGGGCACTTTCTTCTTTGTAGCAGTCGCTATCTCTCGCTGCAGAAAATTGGCACAGCCAGGGAATACTAGTGACAGGTTTCAGAAATGCCCCTCGTGTTGTTCTAGTTGCACTATGTGTATTATGAGAAGAAGATCCATGAGAAAGTTCCTCTGGGGCATATGTGGCCACTTGTTTGGTACAGGCAAAAGTCTGATTCACGTCAGCAATAAAAAGCTGTTTGAAGACTGCTGCTGCATGTCTTGATGTTGTAATGCAATTGGTAGGTGTTTCTTGAGGAAACATCTCTAAAACAATGCACAAGGTGGCTAATTTATCACTGTATTTGTGCTAAGGTAGGTTACAGAGAATGTAGAAAAGATTGCGCTGCTGGGCAGAGTTTAGTCCCTTCCATAAAGAGTTTATAAGCAAAGAGATAGGAGATAAAGGAGGGGTGTCTTATCCAAACTTGTAACAGCAGCAAAGACAAAAAGATGGAAAAACATGTGGGGAGCCCATGTTCTGAGTAAGGAATTGACCTTACTCCTTTGTGTTACTAATGCCATCGTAGCTTTACTTCTTTTGTGAGATATTTTACTTTCTCCTTGGTATGTGAATATTTGCTTGTTAATGTTTATACTGTTTTATTTTTCAGTTATTAGGTATAACAGCAGTATAAGGGGCAGAACTTTTGTAATGCCTAACCTGAATAATGATGATGACCCTATACCTATCGAAGAGCTTGAGAATGAAACTGAAGATGTCACAGAAGTTGGATCAGGATCCATCAGTCAGATTAATTCGTCTCGAAATTATAGACGACAGACAGTATCAGCAGACACACAAAGATACCTCACCAGTCCATGGCTGACGCGTTTTGTTCCTGCAGTCTACACATTAGTGGTTATGCTGAGTCTCCCTCTGAACATTACAGCAATACTTGTGTTTTTGAGAAAAATGAAAATTGAGAAGCCGGCTGTAATATACATGCTGAATTTGGCCGCTGCAGATGTACTGTTCGCAAGCGTGCTTCCTTTCAAGATTGCGTATCATTTTTCTGGAAACAACTGGGTGTTTGGACCTGGGATGTGCCGTTTCGTCACCGCTGCCTTCTACTGCAACATGTACTGCTCGATCCTGCTCATGACGAGCATCAGCGTCGATCGCTTCCTAGCGGTGGTGTACCCCATGCACGCGCTGTCGTGGCGCACGCTGACGCGCGCCTCCCTCACCTGCCTCGTCATATGGCTTGTGGCTATAGCTGGCGTGGTGCCTTTTCTCATCAGGGAGCAAACTATGGAAATACCCAGGTTAAATATAACTACCTGCCATGATGTGCTAAACGAATCTGAACTTCACAGCTACTATGTCCATTTCTTCTCCGTTTTCTCTTCTGTTTTCTTTGTGGGGCCGTTTATAATTTCTACCGTCTGTTACCTGTGTATCATTCGGTGTCTTAGTTCTTCTAGCATTGTTGCAAAAGAAAGTAAGAAGAAACGTGCCTTGCTCTTGTGTGTAGCTGTTTTTTCTGTTTTTGTTGTTTGTTTTGGGCCAACAAATGTCCTCCTATTAATTCATTATGTGCATTTTTCTTATGACAACAGTTTAGAATATCTCTACTTTGCCTATCTACTCTGTGTTTGCATCAGCAGCTTAAGTTGTTGCATTGATCCCTTTATTTACTACTATGCTTCTTCTCAGTATCAGAGGCAACTTGTCAGTCTCTTCAGTTGTAAAGAGACTTTTGATCCTAACAGTAGTAACAGCAGTGGCCAGTTGATGTCAACCACTAGTAGAAGAGGTACCTGTTCCAGTAATGTAAATAACAGTGTCTACAAGAAATTGCTAGCAATGCATTGAGATAATGTTTCTTACACTTGCTTAATTTTTTGGCAATTTCAGAAAAAAAAAGTATTATATCCAGGAAATGCAAAGCCTTAGGTCAATTTTTGTAGAATACATCGTTCTATGGATTCATTACAGTAATACACAATTCAATAGAGTATGCATGTGTATAGTGGATGTATATAAGCTAGTTTAGAAAAGAAAAATATTTTTAATAAAAGCAGTTGAGTATTTTTCAAATAACCAAATCTTCAACCAAATCTTTAATTTTTTTAATTCATTTTATTGAAGGGGTTTTATAAAATCCTGTCTTATGTCGACTAGGTTCTCATTTATGGAACCATCTATCCATTATTTCACAACCAAAATGAAAATAGCTTCCCAAGTGATGTTTGTTTTTATTTATGGAATTATCCATTATTATTATTGTTGTTATTATTATTTTGCATCTTAGGCCCTGAAACTATGTATTTGACATTTCCATATATTCAACTTCAAAGCCCTTTGTGTGATCTTAGGAATCTGAGCAAATGAAAGACAGCTTTTGATTATTGAAATGTATCATAGAAAATAACTTTCATCAGTTAGAACAAGCTTTTCTTCCAGGGTTCGTACCACCACTATGCACTCAGTATCTTGGCTGGGGCTATGTTTTGGCCCATGGTATTTTCAGATTCAAATTTCACAATAGATTAGTGTTGAATGGCAACGCAGAAAATAGGCAGCATCCTGTTTTTCAGTTTGGGAATATGTTTTCTTGCATCTTATTAGTCATCATGCACGTGATTAAGTCTTGGAAATGTCTTTTATTTTGGCCAAGTCTGGGTGATTTTTATTTTTAAAGTTGTATCCATACCTGGTACAACTGTTGCAATGTATAGCCTAACAGCTAACTTAATTCTGTACCTTTCTTTTACTACAGAAGATTTCAAAGTCAAATGACAGAAAATCACTTCCAGAGACAAGTGTGTAAGTGTGTTTTACAGGCAGATGTCAATCAGATTAAGTAGCAACTGGTTTAATGCAGGATTTGCATCAGTAATCTGCCAAGAACCGCAGTGGATAAAAGCCGTCTTCAGTCCATCACAAATCGTAAGAAACCTGATCTTTCTGCAGATATAGTGAGAGTGAGATTCATCTTTCCACCATGATCTCTTACTATTTTGTATCTGTTCTCTGATGGATTTACATTTTATATGTATATATATATATTTACTATATATATATATTTACTACATATATATATTTACAAAATAAATAATGATATTGCCCACATAAAATCTGTGGGCACCCCACAGACTTTTTTTTTATCGAGTATTTGCTAGTTCCTGAATAAGTACAGAGGGAAGTAAGAATATACATATGTATAGTCTGAAATGTTAAAAAATGTCAAAGGTGTATATGGCATATTCATATACATTCTCATTTTGTTTAATATAATATTGGCATTGCTTTGTTTTTCACAAAAAAAAAGTTCATCTTAAAACTACAAGAGAAAAACAGCAGAAAAAAAAATATCCATGCTGTTCCTGTAGTTGTATGCTGGGGATTGGTTTCTATATTTATGACTTAACTGGAACTTTTTTTCATTGCAGTGGCATTTTCTTGATAGGGGTTTATTTTTAGATGGTCAAAAGAGCCTGTTACTAAACTTTGCCGGGATTAGCATTACGTGCTAGGAGAGAAGGAAATGTTCGCTGAGAACAGCTCGACTGTCATGGAAATTGTTTGCCTCCTTTTGCTCTGGGGTTGGATATAGCTTAACCACCGCGAGGCGTTTCCGTAATACAACCTTCATTTTCCTGCATCTTTTGAAGCTGCTTACATAGTTTTTGTTTTATAAACCTGAGGAAAATATGCAAATGTTTGCCCTTTGTTTACATTTCTTGTTACGTATCCCTAGTTTAACCAAATAAATCGGTCCCTGTCCTGTTTCTTCTTGGATATAATTATATCATTTTAAACTACTTTGGACGCTAAACCTCCCATTAAACATGCAAGCCACTGGAGACTCTTGGGCTCCAGGCAATCTGAAAAGGTGGCTGTGTCTCTGCCCAGCCACGGGCTTAACACTCAAAAAGTTCAAAATTATGTTGTCATAATATTGTTGAGACAGCTTAGAGAGGGAAGGAGTACTGGACTCGGAAATGTGTATGTGTGTTGCATAGGAAATCTGTGGCTGTTCCATGATACCTGCTGGTTTTGGACAGTAGATCTATGGTATGCAAAGAAGCTGTGATCTCTCCGCCTCTTGGGGCTTTGTGAGATGTACAGTTATTCGGAAAATGACACAAGAATGTTTTGGTTCAAGTGCAAAACTTGTAGATCAGCTAATCAAGACACAACCACCAGCTTGTATTTTAGAACACCAGTGAACATGTTTTGCGTTGAAATTTACAGCAAAAATAGCATGAAAAGGAGTAAGTACACAACCACTACAGAAACATATCCAAAATAACATCTAAAATTATTTGATCACATTTTTCTTGAACAAGATTCAGGACATATTTTGCAAAAACAAAAGATACAATTTGGACTGAAAGCAGCAACTTTGCATTACAGCAAATCAAGCAAGGAACTGATTCTACAAAATCAGCAGGTGAGCTGTATCACTAGCTCTAACCCTAGCCCTACCCTAATCTAGTTGGCTGGAGATGTGAGAGGATGAGACTTGTATGCAGCATAATTCTTGTTAGCAAAACATGTGCTGCTGCTAGTATGACTTATTTCACAGCAGAGGACTTGCTTAGGACTTGCTTATTTTAGCACAGCAACAATTTTGCAGGAATTGGCATGCTCATCCTTGAAGCATTTATCAGCTAATTCTTCCAAGCATGCATCCACCACTGCAGTCTGCTTTCTGCACCCTGGCTGAAGAATACGTGCGAACCGTTCTCCGTTAATTCTGCTTTCTCTAGTTAATTTTGTCCCTTTTCTAGAGCCACAAGCACAAACAGAAAATGTTAGTGATGTTCTCAATCCGTTGCCACCGGTTGTTCCCTCCTTGTGGTGACAGAAAGTGAGAACCAGCTGGTGGCTCCCAAACCTCAGCAGCCAGTGCCCTCTCTGCAGGCTGCAGAAGAGAGAGGAGTCAGGTGGGCCCCCGCATTTCCGCAGTTTTCTTGGTGATCACTTTTTATATGGGTCATTTTCACCTTCTGTAGTTTGATCCTGCGAAATGCTAAGCAAATAGAAAAAAAATCCAGAAAGTAAAATATGAATGGGACTTGTTATACACTTAAAAGTAATCACCCCTATGAATGCTTTTTTGGTGGAATTTGGCGTTTTACATGTGCTGGAAACGGTTTAGTTCTGGCCCATGGCTGGAGGAGCAAGGTGCTAAAACCCGAGCCTGCACTAGAGGGCATTAAAACAGCTTGGGAGAGCTGATACCTCTGGGGACGAGCTCAGTTGCGACTGGATCGGAAGCACGGGCCTGGGCTCTGAAACAGGCCCAGCGCTCTGCAAGCAGCTAAACATGTGGATCTGCAGCGGGGAGAAGTGCCTGGGAAATGCGAGATTATTTCCACCTTCTTCAGCAAAATTTTGGAGAATAGTTTTTTCCGTCTTTGTGCTGCTAGTTTATAGTGAAGTGTCCTGGAGCCCCTGGAGCAGCCCAAATACTCCTCTACTCTCAAAAGCAGAGTGTGCCCCTCGTGTCCCATGCATTACACCCATTAACACAGCTCTGTTGAGGTGGGGACTAGTAAAGTTAATCAATCAGGCTTGGCACATTACCTCACCAAAGTAAAAATGAATTAATTTGAGTCACCTTAATCTCTGTTGCTACGGTAAATCTGGAGAAGTTGCTGCCTTTGTTTATTCAGTTGGAGCATTGTGCTGGGAATCCTGGGCTTGGTTGCTTTTTGTGCTGGATTATGATGTGCCAGGACTACAACATGCAGGAACCTGTTGTTTAAGAAGTCAGTGGTTGACTTGTACACACTCAGTTTACCTCACACTTGGACACACTCGATTTGACCGGGGCGTTGCTCGCTCACCCCTGTGCACTGTAACGGAGACCACCTGTGTGAGCGGGGGGCGCAGGACTCGTGCTCTGTCCTTCCCAGCGGCCTCGGGAATACCCCCCCAGCCTGTGGGGTAGCAGCTGTCCAGATCCACGGGTGCGGCTGCCTGGTGCCGCCCTAACCTGCTCTTTGCTGACCCCTTCCCAAGTGCTGGTCAGCTCTGTGTTAAGCATTTGAGCACTTCCAAAACGGCCTGTGATGGCGGCCTTGCTGGACTCGCTCCGCCTCGTGCTGGAGTTGCTGTGCTGAGGGGCACTTGGAGGCTAAGCGGCTCCCGAGGCTTCGTTAAGGTCTAGCGGTTTTTGCTCAGAGGCAATAGGCCCTAGCCCATCAGTAACAGGGCAGAGGAAACGGTGTGGCAAGGCGGGGACCCTCCGGGGAGTCGCGCAGCTGTCACAGAGCCGGGCTGGCACACACGACAGGTCGCCTACCAGGCGGCTTCATTTTGGTGAGCTGCTGCAACCCTGAGGGCAGCGCTGCTGAGCAGCTGCTTCCTGTATTTTTTCTCGAGTGCAGAAATGGGGTGTTTTGTGAGGCATAACCAGAAACAATTACTGATAGACACCCAGCCCATAGACTAAAACCGTGGCCTCCCTAGTGCAGCACATGAGTTATGTTGCATGAGTCATGTGGGGCAGCGAGAGTTCAGGCAACAACCAGATTAAGTTTTGGGGTAAGATCTCCAGCTTGTGCGATGTTTGCCCATTTTGTGGGAAGCATCCTGAGCTAACCTTTATAGACGAAGCTGGAATATTGTGTGTGAGGGTCCCTCCATGTAGATACAGCAAAAAAATGCTTTGGGGACAAAAATGGGGATTAACAACTTCTATATTTTGTGTAGATGTTTGCTTACAAGTTTGGCCTTTGCCTGTGCTGGGAAACACCTTACTGTGCTAATGATCTGTGTTTAGACTAGAGAGCAGCAAGGATTGCTTGATTTGTCCTGTGACTGACTTTAATCTTTCTCACTGTTGCAGGCCCATCCTCGTAGCCAGCTCCTTCAGCATGCACTATGTCTCCTGGTTATTTTAAGGCCCTACACAGGTCTTGCCCACATCCT